AACCCAATTATGAGTAAAATTTTATCATTTCAAAATATATTCAATATAGACTCGGCATAGTGACTCATGCCTGTAATCCTAGGGAGGCCAAGGCAGGAGGATCGCTTGAGGTCAGGAGTTTGAGACCAGCTTGAGCAAGAGTGACACCTCATCTCTACTAAAAACAGAAAAATTAGCTGGGTGTGGTGGTATACCCTTGTAGTCCCAGCTACTTGGGAGGCTGAGGCAGAAGGATTGCGTGAACCCAGGAGTTTGAGGTTGCAGTGAGCTATGACGATGCCACTGCACTCTACCTGGGACAACAGAGCAAGACTCTATCTCAAGAAAAAAAACCCAACGTATATATATAATATAAAAATATTAATGAGCTATTCGACATTCTTTTTTTGTACTAAGTCTCCAAAACCTGTATTTTTCCATACATACAGTACACCTTAGTTCAGACTAGCGACATTGCAAGTGCTTAATAGCTACATGTAGCTAGTGGCTGCTGTTTTAGAGAGTGCTGCTCTAAGAACTTAGTACTTAAAGTGGGGCTCATGGGTCACCAGCAACAGCATCACATAGGCACTTGCGAGAATATTAGCCCTACCCCAAATCTACTAAATCAGAATCTCCATTTTGACAAGATCCCCAAGAGATTCCTATGCATGTTAGAATTTGAGAAGTGCTTTGGAGTGATAACCTTCCTATACACTTGTTGGGCAGATAGTAAGATGGACCAGACCAGGGATGACTAAGGTCTAAAGACCAGATAGACCAAGTAAGGCAAGTATTGGGGTCAGGTAACGGAGGAACTACAAATTAACAGTGATTCAGTGTCAGGAAGGTTTGATGGCCAGATACATTAGATCATAATATAAGGGAATTCTGGAGTCTCGTAATGAGCTAGTTTGTCAGAAAGATCCAGAAATAGGCAAAATAGGCAAGAGATAATCTAGCAAATAGCTTGAACATAGTCTCTCAGGAGCCTAGCAGCAGAAATGAGCCTAAGTTCAAGGTAGTAATCATGTAAGAAAAGTAGCAGGGATCCAGCCATAGGAGGCTGAAGGTTAAGAGTAAGATTCTTATCCCTAGGAGACAAGAGCCTTGACTGGAATACCAAGCAAGGAACCTAGGCAGAATCTCCCAAATAAAGAGGTCAAGGTAGATGGTCAGTTGTTAGAACTAAAGTACAAACAAGAGGTTTGATCAAGGAAACAAAGCCAAGCTTTGTGCTGTGGCAGTATCATAGCCAATGAGGTTTATCCGAGGCGCGATTATTGCTAATTGAAAACTTTTCCCAATACCCTGCCATGAGGACTTATAATATAGTTGGCATTGGCAATTTTTGACAGTCTCTGCAAAGACTGATTTAAAAAAAAAAAAAAAGAAAGAAAAAACAAAGCCTTACTATTGAAACTGACAAGGTTTGGTAGGACCAGTGACCTAAATGTGACCTATGTGGATTGTGAGATGCTAAGCTGCGGATCTTTCAGGATCTTTATTTCCCTTCCTATGGGCCATATTGGTCCATAATCTTAGCTCTGTTCACAGGAAAGATACAGAAGTAGGAATCCAGGGCCTCCAATATAATCAAAGGTAGCCAAAGTCAACCTGTCTTTATTTTGCCTAGACTTAGAATTATTAATTTATTTCTCCCTGCCAGGATAGACTTGGACAAGCATTAGCAAAATTAGACGAGTCTCCACAACATTGTTAAACGGCTGAGGGTATAGATGTGCTTAAAAAAATGAGTACTCTGAAAAGTCCCCAAAATTGGTTTGTGGCACTATGATTTACTGACTATTTTCCATCAGCTTTTTCCTAAGAAGCTAAAGCCACCCTTCAGAAAACATACTGCGTTTGCTTTAAAATGTATTATAAGCATTGGGTTTTAGAAATTCAAAAAGGCTAAAACTTGTCTCAGACCTTTACTCTGAGAACCTCAAGTAG